GATTTCTACGACCCAGAGAATTCACTACGACCTCCACGACCAAAACCACTCCATTCCTCCTCTATTCCCACTTGACAAAACATATGGATCATTACATCCTGTCTTTACCTCACTCCAAAACCAGCCAGCACATACCTGTAAACATTCCGTACTATCCCACGCGCAACAGATGGTGTCCCGTCAAGGGTCTTGATGCCTACATACAGCACCATCACTTACTGCCCTCGCAACCGTTATGACAACTACAAGGTGCAGTACTCACCACTACAACCTTCATGACCTACGTCAGGTCCTTGCTCACACAACTGGGCCTCAACGCAAACAATTACTCAGGACACTCCTTTCGTATAGGAGCCCGTCCACAGCCTCCAGTTTCAACATCCCAACTCATGTTATCAAAACACTAGGGCGCTGGAAGTCATCCGCTTACTCACGGTACATACCGAACCCAGTACAAGAATTAAGGGATGCTTTCATAAACATGTCTGGTTGATAAATGTATATGTATTGGTTGTCTGTTAAATAAATTTGATTACTTAATTTTTGCCCTCTTCTTACTCAGGCCTACCTCATCGTCGGTTTCGGCACACCACAACCGACTTGCTCCTTTTATCATCCTACGCTTATTCATGGTATTTCACACTGTACTATCTTACGCACCTAACACAAGTATTAAGGCAATTTGCCTGCATTTGTAGGAGGTGCTGGTTTGCTACCCCTAGCCTACTTAAGGCACTCCCCTTACCTTGCTCCTTACCGTTCGAGGTCAGCGTTGAATGACCCTCCCACCACACCACTTTTAACATTTATTTCCTTTCTATTTCTTTTCCTGGGTGGGTCCTCTTCTTTCTCAGGCCTACCTCATCGTCGGTTTCGGCACACCACAACCGACTTGCTCCTTTTATCATCCTACGCTTATTCATGGTATTTCACACTGTACTATCTTAAGCACCTAACACAAATATAAATATAAATATATATATATATATATATATATATATATATATATATATATAATTCTACATATTTATGTAATAATTTTAATTTTACATAATTAGGTAATTTATTATAAAATATGTAAATATGTTAAAAAATAAAAAAAATACAAATGGGTAATTTTGTTAACTGTATTTTAAAATAAATATATATATATATATATATATATATATATATATATATATATATATATATATATATATATATATATATATATATATATATATATATTTCCTGGCCATATCCATGGCAGCACAACAATGGGTTAGCTCCTCCCTATCCCTAATTAGACAGGAACATAATTAAAATCAGGGGTATAAATACCCCCTCCCACCAATAGTCCCTTAGTCTTTTTTTTTCCTGTCCTATCCCTATAGGTCTCCAGTCATTATAGACTGTGAACACACATTTTTTTCTTTGGCTTACCTGAGGATTTTTACCTTCGGCCCCAAGGGAGAGTTTAGAGTCCTTGGGAAGTCTCCAGTACGTGGCCCTGCGCAAAGTGACCCTAGGGGTAGCAAGAAAAATATTGCCAATAAGGAACATGCCCTGCAGTAACCAAGCGGTAGCAGGAAGTGGCAGAAGAACCTCTGTGGCAAACCTAGCCACTTGGACAAATAATTAGAGACTGTGCCTCTAAGGGTTGCCAATAGGTCGGGCGAGATATGCGCTTTACACTTATGTAGATGTTAATGTATTTTCCGTATTGCCTGCAATGCTGTTTCCGCCGAATGCAAATGGCGGTTTTGTATGGGGATTCTCTTTCGTTTCACGAACGGCACTTTAGAAAGCCGTTCGTGAACCGAACGCGATACCCCCTAATAGCCCACACACTTAGAGGCGTGTGGCGCTAGTTAACCGAATGCAACATTGTTGCAATCGGTTATTAGAGGCTCTCCTGGGTGGCCGTCGTTCGACTACCGACCATGCGGCGGTCGGCCATCTTGGATCCCTGGTTCTTCAGCGGGTCCGTGTCGTCGAACGCATAGCATTACCAACAGTTATTCGACGGCACGAACACCGCTGAGCCTCCAGGACGTTCGGGAGTTTCAGGACCAGGTTCACTAAAAGCAATCGGTTCTTTTCGTGTGTTTTGAAAGAAATGTGTTTTCTGTGCAGCGTTCGGTTATTTTAGCTGGGATCTGAGCGGCAATCTCACGAATGATGCGCCCAGACCCCAGCTATCTACCGAACGTCCATTCGTGTAAATCCACTGTGTATTTTAAAAGTTATGTATTTTTATATGGATTGCCGGTTCTGCTGCACGAGGGGATAATCCCCTTAACGGTGCATTCTGGGAGGATGATCCCTCTCGTGCAGCGGTGCCTGATGGGAGGAATATGTTATACTGTAAGTCCCCCATGTAGTCCCCTCTGGGAGTGCCCCTGGGGAGGGACTCAGGAAAC